CTGTCTGCACTTGAACAGCGAGTTTTTCTGTACTAATATTGATTTGATGATGCAGGGCATCATCGCCAGATAGTCGCTTCACTTCTCTTTTCTGACTTGTTGTTTTTCTGCCGCCCATCATCATCCTCATCATGCCCACTCAGTACATCTGTACACTATTTTCGTACAGCAAAAATGATGCCTTTTCGTACGACCACTGAGATCACTACTCGTGGCCGCTATCAACCTACCCATTTTTTCTCCTCATTTTTTTGTCGACTTGATATGCCGGCGCCGACATCAACCAAGAGAAGAAGAACATAAACACAGAAGTCTGTACAGAGCACTTCTCATTTTTGCATACTTTTTTCAGTGTGCACAATAGTTAAAATTTTTCACACACTTCCGCATTGAAGAAAGAGTAAACGATGTCCTCCAAACTGCTCGCCAAACTGGCCCTGCTGCCCGCCAAGGCGCTGGTCACCAGCTACACGTGGACGACACTTCCGCTTTATACTGTACTTCAGCGCCCCTGGCGGAAGTTGAAACTGAGCAAAAGCTTCAACATTCGCGCCACCACCGACGCCCAAGGTCGGGTGGTGTACTCGAGGACGCCCCCGGTAGCGTTGGACCACCCGCAGCTCGCCTGCACGCACTACAATGAGCTGCTGGAGGGCCTCGATCGGTCGCACCGAATCTTCGGCGTCCGCGAGGTGCTCAGCGAGGTGCTCCAGGTGGACGAGGCCACCGGGAAGGCCATCAAAGTGGACGGAAGGGAGCTGAAGAAGATTCGGCTCGCGGACGCCTATCGCTGGTACACGGTGGGCGAGGTCCTGGACCGGGTGGACGCCCTCGCCCGGGGCCTGCAGGCGATGGGCGTCGGCGAGCAGGAGAAGGTGGTGATCTACGCGGAAAATAGCTTCGAGTGGTTCGTCGCCTCGGTGGCCCTTCTGCGCATCAACGCCACCACCGTGACGCTGCTCTCCATTCTGAGTAAACCTGCTATATCTTTTTAGTTTGTCTTTTCGAGAGTTTACTAAAAAAAGCCCTTCTTTTTACTTCCAAAGATGACGAGGGCATTCTTTACGGCCTCAATCAGTGCCAAGCTCGGTACGCCATCGTCTCGCAGGAGCTCCTACCTCGGCTCGCCCGCATCGCCCCCTCCATCAGCACGCCCCTCAACGTGACGTACATTCCCAACCAGCTGACGCCCCCTTCTGACGATCCTCAGGTGGCCGCCAATCTGAACAGCTTAAAGTCTTGTGGTTTTACCCTTCAAAAGTACGATGAGGTACTGGAGGTGGGCAGGAAACTTCCTCCAACGCCCTTTCCCGCCTCCAAACCGGAGGACATTGCGCTGATCATGGTATGACGCTTTTAATTTGAGATTTTTGGTTTTTGTTAATTATTTTGTTCTTTTTATTACTNGGAGGTGGGCAGGAAACTTCCTCCAACGCCCTTTCCCGCCTCCAAACCGGAGGACATTGCGCTGATCATGGTATGACGCTTTTAATTTGAGATTTTTGGTTTTTGTTAATTATTTTGTTCTTTTTATTACTTTAGTACACCAGCGGTACGACCGGAAACCCGAAGGGCGTGATGCTGACGACGAAAAACCTGCTCAGCGGCCACAAAAACCTGATCGCCTTTGATGAGGAGCTCCAACAGGTGGCCGGAACGTCCATTCTGAACAGCCGGTAAGCGGCGCCATTCTGTTGTTGTCAAATGTTTTGGAAAACATGTTTGTAAAATGTTTTCAATATTTCTCTTTTTTTATCTTCAGCTATCCGGCCTACCTTCCGATGGCCCACCTCTACGGCTACGTCATCAACCACGGCCTCTTCGTCTCCAAAGCCCGAATCGGCCTCTGTTCGCCGCTGACGATGCTGGAGAGCAGCCCGGGAAATGTTCCCGGCCAGGTGGCCGATTTCGCCCTCATCAAGCCCAACTTTATCGGCGGCGTTCCGCTAGTGCTGGATCGAATCCTCAAGGAAATTTACCGAAAACTGGAAGCTCGGAACGCCTTTGCCCCGCTGCTCTTCACCTACCTGATGGACTATAAGATACGGTGGACATCTCGAGGCTACGACACGCCCATCATCAACAAGGTCGTCTGTCAGCGGATCAACGATCAGTTCGGCGGACAGCTGCAAACGATCATCTGCGGTTCGGCGGCGCTGAATGAACGGACGCAGGCGTACATTCAGGCGGCGCTCAATTTGAAGCTAATTCAGGGCTACGGAAGTAAGATAGAGAAAAATGTATACAAAGACTTTGAATTTTAAAGCTCCAGTTGTTTTCAAAGGCACCGAAATGACCGCCGCCTCTCACCTGATGGCGCCCAGCGACCTGAACTACGGCGAATGCGGAACGCCGCTGCTCACCTTCAAGTTCTACCTGAAGGACTGGGCCGAGGGAGGCTACTACACCACTGATAAGCCCAATCCTCGCGGAGAGATTGGTTTGTTCCGTTATCATTTACCGATGCTTACACATCTCAACTTCCTATTCTTCTTCTTCTTTAGTAGCCGGCGGCGATTGCATCACCGCCGGCTACTACCACATGCCCGAGGAGACGGCAGAGTGCTACAAGGTCGACCCGGACGGAACGCGGTGGTTCGAAAGCGGCGACATCGTCGAGGTGCTGCCCGACCGGACGCTCAAAGTCATCGACCGGCGGAAGGACCTGACCAAGCTGTACAATGGCGAGTTTGTGTCGCTGGGAAAGGTACAGATCAAATGTTCGAGGGCTGTTTTGCCACAATCTAAGATTTTTTTTTTAAACCTTAGATCGAATCAGGCCTGCGCTCCTCGCCCGTCGTCGAGAACATCTGCGTCTGCACGCACCCGCACAGCAATCACGTGACGGCGATTGTGTCGCCGAATCGGCGCGCCCTGGCTGATCTGGCCGCCAGCCTAGGAAAGTCCCGAGAGCTCAGCAGCTTTGAGGAGCAGTGCACCGACCCGGACATCATCGCCGCCATTCTCCGGTCTTTCGATGAGATTGGCCAGAAGCTGAGCTACTCGAGGAAGGAGCTGCCGGTGACGATCACCCTGGTGGAGGAGGAGTGGTCGCAGGATAATGGCCTGTAAGTGCAAAGCTGTTGTTGTTGGTGTTGTTGTTGAAAAGTTCATAGCTCTGAATTGTTTTCTGGCAGACTGACGGCGGCGATGAAGATGAAGCGCAAGCAGGTGAACGACTTCTACCGGACGCAAATAGCGGAAATGTTTGAGCGGACAAATGAAAAGAGTCAATACTGACAACAAATAACCAAATAAAAAAACTTTTCTTTTTTTTGTTCAAACCTCAACAATGCGCGGCTCAATGCAAGGCAGACCTTTGGTCTAGCGACCTTTGAGGCCCAAGTGCTGCGTACTGTTTGTCACGTCAGTAATTATAATGCACTTAGAAGTGTGTTTTGTTTTTTTTTGCTCTTTAAAAATTTGAGACGTTTTGACTTGCAAATTTTTTTTTAAAAATTGTTGTACATTTTTAAAGTTCAAAACTTTAAAAATGAATAATGTCTCTGTTGACAAGTACTTAGAAACCATAAATAAATAACAACACAAGCAAACTATTGGTTACTTTAAGACTTTGCTGCCAAAAAAAACAAAATACTTTTAAATCATTTAGTTTTTAAAGCAAAAAAAAATTTAAAAAATGCACAAATAAGTTATTCCACTAACGCAAACTNTTTTTTTGCTCTTTAAAAATTTGAGACGTTTTGACTTGCAAATTTTTTTTTAAAAATTGTTGTACATTTTTAAAGTTCAAAACTTTAAAAATGAATAATGTCTCTGTTGACAAGTACTTAGAAACCATAAATAAATAACAACACAAGCAAACTATTGGTTACTTTAAGACTTTGCTGCCAAAAAAAACAAAATACTTTTAAATCATTTAGTTTTTAAAGCAAAAAAAAATTTAAAAAATGCACAAATAAGTTATTCCACTAACGCAAACTATTTAAATAGACAATTACCAGTTTTTATAAATTTAAAAAAATAAATGAGAAAAATTGTGTTTACAAAATAAGGCAGCCTAGCTAAATGTCCCCTTCGGCAAATGTTGGCACTGTCGTGCCGGCAAAGGTGAATGGCCAGTCAACACCTCAAAACGGCGTGATGGAGCTCGGAAGTCGACTTTTACATCTTTTTGGCAGGCGGCTGATGTCCATATCAAGCGACTACGTTACAGTGAACGTTGAGGAGGACCGGAAGTGGACTTCAAAGCTGAACGGCCGCATTCTGCTTACCTACACCTACCTGGCGGTGACCACGTTTCGATTCGCTCTAAATTCCTTCTGTTTAAGTTTTCCTGACAGTCTCCTCACCGCAAGCTACCTCCTCTACGACCCGATGAGCGACCTCCTCCACCGGACGGGCATCCTCGACCGCAACCTGGCGCTGTTGATCATTCCTTCGCTGCCACTGGTGGCGAAAGTACGGCATAACTTATGGAGGTAAGGGTCCAAATTGACTGTAGTGAGCGGAACCACTCAGGCATGTTTTTTTTTGTTATCAACAGACTTTGGACTTATCAACATGAAAACTTTTGGCAAGGTGCGACGGTCATTCGTACTGCTTCTTTGCTATTTGTTGTCTATTAGCTAATTTGCTTATTATTTTCAGTTTGTTCTCTCTCTTCCTTGGTGAGCTTCTTATGACCACTTACGGGCTAGTTCACAAATAAAAATTAATTTGTTAAAAGGCATTGTTTGGTACATCTAGAAAACATTTGTTGTGTTTTTCAAAAAAAAACAATTTTCCCTTTTATCACAACTAAACTTTTACCCCTATCCAAAGTTTTCTTTGATGGCACAAAAAGTGTACAACTGTTCACTAATGGTTCCCAGTCACTGCTGGTTAACCTTTTGCCTGCCTTATCCAGTTATCAGCAGCTCAACACACGCACACACAAAAAAGTATGCTCTGGTGAATCACTACCACCGCCACCGTCGCTCAAAGATAACCACGTGAACCCAACTTTTGCTGATTTGCCGTTGCAAAGAAGCAGCAGCAAAATAGCAAACAACAACAACAACAACAAACAGACAAATCATCATGCGGCTTAGAAAACTCTTCCTGCTCACGCTCTTCTCAGCGGTCCTAGCCGGCCTAGCTTCAGTCCTAGTCTACCAGCTTCATTTTAGCTCTGACGATGATGGCGAGGTTGGAAAAAGCATCGTAAGTCTTATTTTTGTAAAACTAAACCTAAATCTAATGTTTCGCTTTCTAAAACCAACAACCCAGCAAGAACTGATCACCCGACGAGGCTTCCACGCGGAGAGCCACTTTATCACCTCTCAGGGCGGGTACATTCTCCAGGCAGTTCGAATCGTCAACCCCTTTGTGGGGGAAGAAGATCGAAGTTCACTGAAGCCGGTCCTGCTCGCCCACGGCTACCTCGGCGCCGGCTCCGCCTTTCTCATCGCCGCTGAGGGCCACCTTCGAGTGGATGGCACCTACTTTGAGGAGGAAGTCCACGCCAAGGACCCAAAGGCGGTGGGAAACACGCTCGGCTTTGTGCTGGCCACTTCCGGTTACGATGTTTGGCTGCTGAACGCTCGAGGGAACGTCTACTCCACCAATCACAGCCACCTTTCTACGGACCAGGACGAGTACTGGCAGTTCAGCCTGGATGAGCTGATCAGGTACGACCTACCGGCCATTATTGACTACGTTCGAGCGGTTACCAAACGGCCTAGCGTCGCCTACATTGGCCACTCGCTANCGCTCGAGGGAACGTCTACTCCACCAATCACAGCCACCTTTCTACGGACCAGGACGAGTACTGGCAGTTCAGCCTGGATGAGCTGATCAGGTACGACCTCCCGGCGACCATTGACTATGTTCGAGCGGTGACCAAACGGCCTAGCGTCGCCTACATTGGCCACTCACTGGGCACCACGGTAATGTACGGCCTGCTGGCCACCCAGCCGGAAAAGTACACCGCCCAGGTGCGGCCCTGTATCGCCCTCGCCCCGGTGGCCTACTTCACCCGAATGAAGGCCAGCTCTCGGAATTTGGCCCCTTGGAGAGACACTATCCACTGGTTGCTCCCGCGGTCCTTTGGCGCCGCCTGGTTCCAGCGCCTAGGCCTGCCACGCCTCTGCGCCCGCTTCCGGTGGGTCAATGACGCCCTCTGCTATCGACTAATCAAGAGGACCGGGTCGACGGACGCGCAGATTGACCGCTCTCGGGTCCCCCTTTACATTGATAATGGCATGCTGGGCAGCTCCACGCGGACCTTCATTCAGCTGATGCAGCAGACCAGAGGGCTCCGCTATTTCAACTTCAGCGACCCGGCGACTAATTTGCAAGTCTACGGACAGGAGGAGTCGCCGCCGTACGATTTCACCCGAATAGTCAGCCCCTTTTTGGTGGACATTCACGTCAAGGTGGACCGGTACGTCGACCTGGAGAATATTCGCCTGCTGAAGGCGGACATCAGGGTGCCCTTTGCCCGAGAGTACCAGATTGACGACCAGTCCTGGGGACATGTTGACCTGCTGTGGGGAAAAAACGTCGGCAAGGTGGTCAACAGTAGAGTGCTGCGCTATCTGGCTGATTTGGCCTGACTGAGTAAAGAAGAAAAAAGCTTTTTTATCGCTATAGTTTTTATTTTTAAAGAAATCAAATCAAAACTAGTTTTATGTAACCTTTGCCTGCCTGACTGACTGACTGACTGATAGGTAATGCACCTTCTGTTCTGTTTCGCAAAAAGAAAGTAACTGATGCCTTTGTCCTTGAGTTTTTCTCTCGTCTCTAATTTTTCCCTCTTTCGATCTGTCTCTTTCGATGTGTGCGCTTGGGTACATCACCACACTGTGTACACTGTACAGACATAAAAGTCCTCATTTCTCTGCTGTAGTGACAAGCTTGGACACAGCAACACCAGCAACAACAAAAATGGAGCTACTAACAAAGAGGATACTTCTTGCTAAGCTGGCTTCAATTGCCCTTTTAATTTTAGCCCTTTGGCTGGCCCATCCTTCCGACTACAGAGAACAGTTTCCTGATTTAGAGCTGACCATTGTAAGAACTAAGTTTTTTCACTTTTTAAATTTACCATTTTTTTAAAAAAAATTTTCTTTGCAGCAAGAGCTGATTGAATCTCGCGGTTTCAAGCACGAAACTCACTTTGTCACCTCGGAGGATGGCTACATTCTGCAGCTGGTGCGAATAGTCAATTCACATTTAGAGAATAGCTCCAAAAAACTGAAACCAGTTCTACTTCATCACGGCTACCCCTGCTCAGGAGCGATCTGGTTAATAGCCGCAAACGGGAGTTTAAGGGCCGATGGGCGGTACGTCGAAGAAGAGGATGACGACAAAGAGGGAGCTCGAAAAGTGGGCAACTCCCTCGGCTTTGTCCTCGCCTCCGGCGGCCACCACGGCTACGACGTTTGGCTGGCCAACAGCCGGGGAAATGTTTACTCCTCGAATCACAGCTCTCTAAGCACCGAATCGGACGCCTTTTGGGACTTCTCCCTCGATGAGATCATCCGCTACGACCTGCCCGCGCTGATTGAGCACATCAGAGCGGTGTCAAAACAGTCCCAGGTCGCCTACATCGGCCACTCCCAAGGTACGCTGATGATGTTTGGTCTGCTCTCTAGTCAACCGAAGTNAAGGGCCGATGGGCGGTACGTCGAAGAAGAGGATGACGACAAAGAGGGAGCTCGAAAAGTGGGCAACTCCCTCGGCTTTGTCCTCGCCTCCGGCGGCCACCACGGCTACGACGTTTGGCTGGCCAACAGCCGGGGAAATGTTTACTCCTCGAATCACAGCTCTCTAAGCACCGAATCGGACGCCTTTTGGGACTTCTCCCTCGATGAGATCATCCGCTACGACCTGCCCGCGCTGATTGAGCACATCAGAGCGGTGTCAAAACAGTCCCAGGTCGCCTACATCGGCCACTCCCAAGGTACGCTGATGATGTTTGGTCTGCTCTCTAGTCAACCGAAGTACAGTGAGATAGTTGCGCCCTTTATCGCCCTCTCTCCGGTGACCTCCTTTGAGAAGGTGGACGCCCCGCTGGAGTTTATCAGAGGGCAAGCTCCAAACATTCGCCGCCTCTTTCCCCGGCA